GCAAAGTGCTTCGCAATCTTCTCCTTGTGGGCAGATGCCACAGCCTCTGACATCTCAAGCGTCTTGGCATTCTGACGAGATGGCTTAGGCTTGATCAGAACTGAACGCACCGCGGCAGGAGGCTCCTGTCGCTCCTTACGCTTCTTAGATGACAGCCCAAAGCAAGGAGCATCAGGAGCATCAGGATCAGGAGCGGGCGGAGGAGGAGTCGGAGCAGGTGGAGGAGGAGTCGGAGCGGGTGGAGGAGGAGTTGGAGCAGGCGGAGCAGGAGGAGGGGTTGGAGCATGCAGAGGAGGAGGAGTTGGAGCGTGCGGAGGAGGAGAAGCAGGTGGAAGTGGAGGGGGAGTTATAGCTGGTAGAGGAGGAGGGGGAGCAGAACTAGCTTCAGCACTAGCAGGGCCAACTTCACTATCACCAGGGACAGGGGAAGTCCCAGGAGCAGCAGGGCCAGGAGAGGCCCCATCATCAGCAGGACCAGAAGAAGGATGAGCAGAAGCACTTCCAGACATTACTAGGCAAGCAGTAAATTATCAGGAAAAAACTCGAAGTTAAAAGAGCAAGGAGAGAGTCAGGAATGTTGGAGGAGAGAGAAATAGGACCAGAAAATAACTTGGTTCAAGTCGAGGTCGATTGCCCAAAGCGGTGAGGCAGCCACGTGCCAGCTGTGGCATGAGTCGCCCGACTCGAAGTGCTCGCGCTCACCGACGCTTGCGTTAATACACCCCGGTAAGTCTTTCATTGTGTGAGACGGGTATGAAAACCCCCCAAAACATTATGTATTTAATCTATTTTACCCTCTAGAGCCCGTCCGAGGCAGCTCGGAAATGAGCGCCTACCGCCGGAGACGCGCGAGACGCTAAGTCCGCGTCTCACCCACTACTTGCTCTCGCCGCCTCGCTCGACCTCGGCGCCGCCTCCACTCGTGCCGAAATTAACGAATGGATGGGGCATATGAATGTAGCAGGGTGTATGAGCTGAGGACAAGGGTAAAAAGTAAGTAAGTCTGCTTATTTTCGATGTTTTTATCTTTTGATGCTTGGGCTGGCATGCCCGCCTCGCGCTCGTGCGCGGACGGGTCATGCTGGCTCGTTTATGTTATCTTGCAGGTGGACGACCTTCTGAGAGGTCGTCCGTCGTATTTTGGACGAATCCGCGCTGTCCCGACCGCTCAAGACCCGCTGTACGCGCCGCCGCTCGACTACCCCTCCTCCCGACATCGGAACGCAGAACGCCGCCGCGTTCTGCGTTTCGATGTTATTTCCGACTCACCTCGACCCTAGGAAGCGAGCAACACCGGCACCGCGCAAATTTGCGGTGCCGTTCTTCTTTTATTTCGTTTTTTCTGTTTTCAATCTCCTCCTCCTCCCCCTTCTTCCCCGCTTCCCCGGCCTCACATCTTCGGATGGGAGGCCATTTCCTGACTACTGAAGGAGTCAGGACGACGATGAGACCCGCGCGACAGCAGCGCGCGGTCTCGTCGTCGAGTTCTTCTCGATTCTGGGTCACCCCCCCCCCCTCCCTACAACCTCACGTCGCGGCGGGCCCGGGGACGCTAGCGATGCGTCTTCGGGCCCAAACGAACCTCCTAATGCTACACCAGCGCGAGGAGGTCCGTTCTGAGCCGTCGGACGGCCGTTGACGCCGTCGACGCCGGCGTCGTCGTGCGCGCGTCGGCCGACGTCGAACACCAGAACGCGCCCGCGTTCTAGTGTTCGATGTCGTTCCTTGCTGGGGACACGTATACGAAGCTGTGATAGAAAGGGATGCACAGAAGTGTGCACCCTTTCTGTCACAATCTTCGATTTTGTCTTTTCCCTCCTCCCAACCCCACCCCGCTCATCCCTCTTTCACCAGGCCGTCCGGACTCAAGCGGACACCTGTCCCTGGCTCCTATAGAGTCCAGGACGTCGGCGAGACGCGAACGACTACTTTGTTCGCCCTCGTCGACGTTGCATTTCAACTTCTGTCGCCACCCTCCCTACCTCCCCCCTCCCCACCTCGCGCTCGCCCAGGAAGGCCCCGCTACGGGATACGTTCGACCTCCCCCGTATCCTACATCCCTGGGGCAGCGCGTCCGGTCGCCGCGCGCTGTCCCGACCGCTGCTACCGCCGCCGTCGCCGTCGTCGCCCTGCCCGACGCCGACCATCACGTCGACATCAAACGTCAACGCCCCGCCCAAATGGCGGGTGGTTCTGGCTCCCCTGGAGTACAGGAGCACGACGCACTATGCGTCTTGCATTCCCGGTGAGTTCATAATATCCTATTGATTTATTTCTCCCCCTCGAACTACCCCTACCCGTATCCCCCTCTCGCCGGCTCTGGAGAGCGCGCGAACCCTCGCGTCTCAACAGAGTCGTGTCCCTACTACCCATACCGACTGCCTCCCACCGCCGTTCGCGTTCCCGACAGCTGCCGCCGCCACCGTCGCCGCCGTCGCCCTCCCCGACGCCGACCCTCGCGCCGACATCCAAACCGATCGCGCCGCCTCAATAGCGGGTGTTCCTGGGTCCCATGGACGGTAGGAACGCGACGCAGCAAGCGCCTCTAAGC